ACTCCTATCCACTATACCTAGGAGGAGCACGAAGAAATTCAGGCCACAAGACTCTTGGCGTTTTCTCGCAAGCACTCAGAATTCTCACATGACTCCATTCTTCGACCATGTTCCAACATTAGGAGTAAATGGATATACATCCACATTCAGTTCTTTACTGATAGAGCTGAATAAACGAATTGAAAGAGTTGGATTTAATTATTCTTGTTTGTGGTGTCCACTGTGATTTAGTCAGTACTGCTCAAAATCAAAAGTACTGAAAGTGTGAACTTTGTTTTTGTCGTTCAGGATGTTGCCAGAGTCTGGCCTGGAACCAAAATGCCTGGGCAGATGGGAAACCAGAGCAGGACAGTGTATGGACTGAAAGTAAGTCTATAAAGTACTGTTTGTGAGTTTATATGCAAGGGCCTACAGCGTGCATTGTGTGTGTGTGTGTGTGTCCTGAACAAGTGTGCTTTCTGACTATTAAGGATGGAGGGTGCATGAGGTGTGTGGTTGACTTGTAGGTGTGGAATTAGTCATTCAAAGGAAATGAAATTGAGTTGTACTGTAATGGGGGCTGCATAAGTATATTTTACATCTAAGCCATGTTATGTATAGTTGTTACAAAGAAAAAAATAGTGACCTACTATTTGAGCTGATATCAGCAAGGGAGAAAGGATTCGAAGCATTAGATATAATATTTTCCTTTGTAAAGAGAACAAAAGCTCCCTGGACATTATGTTTCTGTATATTGTGTATATTATCACAGAGAAGCTGAAGGTTATATGCTGAGCTGTCTTGGATTTTATGTCAAATAGGTCAGTGAAATAGATGTGGGTAAGGAAAGGAGGGGACAGTCCCAGTAAAGGGGATAAGATTACTTCATTGTGGTGCATGCATTTTCAGAGAGAGAGTTAAAAGGGAAGTTAATATTTAATCTACTAATATCAGAAGAAAATCTTGAACAGCTGAACGCAAACAGTTTGTACTATAATGGATGCTATGTGCTTATACTTTCATTAAAACATCAAATATGTGTATATTTGGATGTATATGGCTTAAAGTATAGAAAGAACAAAATAAGCCACCCATAACAACAGCATCCAGTAGTTGCTGCTACATTTTGTGCATATTCTTCCCATCTTAATTCTACATACATTTAATGTATAGATTATGTATAATTTTATATAATTAGGTCAGGCTTCTCCAGAGCGGGTGACTATTTGGATGAGTGGGTGGATGCTTTGGATGCTTGACTGGACAATGTGATAGATAAACCAAGGGGTATTTTTAGGATTTCCTTCTACCATTACTACATGAAGGCTGAGAAATCCCACTATAGGATACCTACAGGCTGGAATCCCTGGAATGCCTGTAGCCCTGACTCAGTCCAAAACCTCAACTTCAAAACCCAGTGATAGACTTCTCAGTCTGAAACAAAAGTCCTGAGAATGAGGCAGGGGCCTGGACGGGCACTGAGTCCAAAGTCTGGGAGCCTGAAACTGAGATGACTTGGGACAGGTTTCCAGGCTCAAAGGAAGTGCTTCCCTCAGCCTCCTTCATTTATTGTGGCCCAGCCGGTGGGAGGGTGTTCACCCGCTGAGTGACATCCACACAGACTCCCAGAGTCACAGGCACCCCAGAAGTCATGCTTCCTGTTCTTCCAGCTCCTTAATCCAGTCATGACACCTAAAGTTAATTATCAGACAAACTGGTCTGTTTCCCACCATTACTGTTTCCCGCTTAATGAAGCGACATTACTGTTTCACAGATTTCTGTGTAGTGTTATAAATACCTTGATGTCCCCTTCTTGTTTTCTTACTGTTTTTTCTTTCTTTTCTTTTTTTTTGACCATTGTGTGTTATTGTTTTTCCTCTATGTTGAGGTGTTTTTGAAGGCAGTCTGCTTGGCTGGCTTATTTTAGAGATTAGATTCAGTGAGTTAGGAATTCCCAGTTGCTAGTTGTAAAAAAAAAAAAAAAAGTAATAGTAACCAAAACAGAACTGAAATTCCACGTATCATTCTTGGTGTCAGCAGACTCCATGGAGTTGAAGTAGTTGTCCACAGCCACACTCCTAAAGTAAGGCGCACTGATGATCTTACAAGCTTGGCCTTCAGTTGCTGGCGTGGTGAACGGTTTGTAGAGCGTATTCTCGGCTTGGTAGTAACACGTTTCCTAGTTTCTGGAGCCTTCATCTCTCACTTCGTGTTGTAGGTGTGGAGAGTGAACACGAAGCACAACATAATCTACGTGAATGGCTCTGTGCCTGGACACAAGAACTGCTTAGTAAAGGTGTGTACAACCGTTTGACTTGTACCGCTCGGGGATAGCATAGCGATGGAGTCCCTAAATTCTCTCTTGTCCTAGATGTGGAGCTTCTAAAGCACTGTTCTTACTCTGCATGCTCTCTGCTCCAGTTCCCTTTGTAGTAGCACATCAGTGAAAGGCTGCACTATAAAATAAACTGCACATGGGAGACCTGAAGCCAAGAGCTCATGGGAGAAAGGGCTCCAGGAGAGAAGGGAGCTGGTGCCAGAACGTCAGTTTTCCTCTGTCCTTCCAGAAATAGATGAGTCCTGCTTTAGGCAAAAGAACCGGAAGTGCTGAGGTGGGAGTCGTGGTCCAGAAAGGTGACGAGGGCCAGCGGTCTCAGTGCCAGCACCACTCTGCCACCCCTGCCTCCCCAAGCACCCTCTGTCCTTTTCAAAAGTACAAAGAGAGGAAGAAAGTAAATAGAACTAACATGTTGACCAGATTGAAATAGAGCCTGGGAGCTTCCAAAGACTCGTTTCTATCCAGTAAAACCCACGATGCAGACTCTGCTGAGCCATGCTGATGCAGGGTAGAAGCTGACTCTGCTGAGC